CATTCATACGAGGGTTTTGTATAATTTAATTACATTACTACTAATGGTAACATAAAAAACACGCATTCATCATCAACGTCGTGCTGTTCCGGTGGATTAGCGTGGAAGTTATCCCAAGAGCGACTACTAAAACTGCTTCCTCTCACATATCGAATTCTCAATCACATCTCTCGAAAAGAATTGATGAAAGGTCACTATAATACTCCAAAATCCCAAATTCCTCAACAATCACGGCCATTCTTTCCTCCTTAATTTTTGTATTCGCTCCCAAATCTCTTGCGTAGTTTTGAATCAATGAATAATTGATAAGAAATTGGTTGGGAATATTAATCTGTCCATCTCCTCCATCCAAAGAGTCCTCGGATCAGACCTATTCCTGCAAAACACCTTCGTCCATGGTTCTTGCAGATGCTATGCTCTGGGAGTTTTGGGAAACTATATAACGTTAAAGATATACGACTTAGACAAAGGTACAATCTATTTCCTTGTCACAAATCTGAATATATTACAACTTTATTTAATATTGAAGTCATTTTTTTTTATCGAGGCCGCACTTGTTGGTGCTTTAGAGGTACCTAGGCTATTACAACGGGGGGTAGAGCCTACTGGGGAAGGGGGTAGTACTACTAGGTGGAGACTCTACTCACGTGCGCCTCTTGCTCGGACTATCCGGTCCTCCGTGGCCGGTGATTGCAGTTCTCCTGCCTGCTTAAGCTGGCTGCTGGTCAGCTACCTGCTTCCTCCTTCAGCTACCTACTTCCCGTGTCCGCGGGAGGAATCGGACCCTCAACATCGCGGTTAAAGATACAACGCCCTAACCACCAGGGCAAGACTTGATTTCTTTGAAGTCATGTTTGAACAATCCTTTACGTCGGTAGTCTCCACATAAGTAGGATGCGAGATTGACAAGCTCTTTTAGCTTTTCAAAGCTTGGCACTCTTCTCAATTGTGCTATGTTTGGTCATGGTCGATTTCATAAAGGTTTTAAAAATAATATATATCTAATGCAGCAAGTCATCAGTAGGTTATTCGTATACTTTTGAATGCATTTTTATTTGTGGATAGTTGAAGATTTCTAAAGTAGTGAACAATGCATGTAGTTCTTATTGAAAAGTTTATAATATATTTAGTCTTATTTCCTTGAATTGGTATTTCAAGTTTTAAACTTTTTACAAAACTAAATTCATGTTTAGGGAGAAAACATAATCCTTTTTGATGGACAAATCTCCTTATGGTAGGTAATTTAGTATAATTTGGCAAATATTGGTGAAATTTAATAGCCAAAAGATTTTAAAAGGCCATCATGGTCTTTCAAATATCAGTACAAAGTTCAATTGTTTTTTATCATGTGGTAGCATCATTTGCATTTTTGATAGATTAATGTCTGAACTTGAGATAATTTCATTAATTTATAGAGTTGAACTAATTGTGTAACTAAAAAAGTTCTATACAGGTAATGAACAACGGAATAATCAAAGAGTGCATTGCCATTTTTGTGGCAGTGAACCCTTAAACTTCGTTTTCCAAGATGAGCAAAATGATAACTTTTTTTCTATATGTTATTTTTCATTTATGATATTCCTTTTTTTGTTTTTCTTCAAATCTACTTTATCTTTTCACTTGCCTTAGTGATATGCTCATAATTTACCTATTTATTATATCCCTAATTTGTGATTTTTGCAATATATTTTGAGTACAAATATGCTATTTATGTGATTTTATCTTTAATTTTAGGAATTGTACTCAAATGGAGGAATTGTTGAAATTTTGGGGCTAAAATGAAGATAAAAGCAACTCAAAGGGTGAATTGAAGATTTGATAAATTGAGAAGGAAGAAACTGAAGCACTTGAAGAGTTGGAAGAGTTTTAATTTAAATCGACTTGGAAAAAAAATTACTTTCTTATTCCTGGATAAATAGGATTTGAGGAAAGCCCATAAAAAGAGGATTTGGATTTTATTTTTGGAGACAGAGACTGAACCTTGCACCTCTGAGCCCCCGGCATCCATCTTCTGAACCGACACACCAAACCACCACCTCTCCACCTTCATCCACCACACGGCTTCATCACCATTGCACCCTACTAGCACTACACCAAAAAAAAAAAACCCACGCCTAACTCCCAAAAAAAAAAAACAAAATCACCTTCTCACCCTTTTACGCACTAAACTCCATCAACCACACTGATAAGCCGTCGTTACACTAGTCAAATAATAATTACCTACTTAATACAATTACTAGTAGTAAAGTAGCAAGCAGGGTCGATCCCACAGAGAAGGAATACTAATTACCAGGTATAAATTACTCCTATTATTATCTAGATAAATGATGATCTCAGATTTATAAAATTTAAAACTAAAATAAATAAATAAAATAAAAGAAAATAATATTAATTCGAATAATCAGACAAAGAAAACCTAGGACATTGGGTTCACCTACCGAATATTTAGTTTAGTTCAATTCACAAATATCTGACTTTTAACTTCCATTATTCTCACAATGATTCACCTAATTAAGAACTATTCACTCTCGTGTTATAATTCTCTTACTTAGATTAACCCTATGACTACTCTCGTGACTATAGGAATTAACAAAAGCACATTAAGACCATTAAGAATCAAATATTGCAAAGGTTATAATCTTACTCTCGTAGCTTACAACCTAAGTTTATTATTCCTACGAACTAATACTAATCTTCCACTCTCGCTACTTCGATTAATATCTTCAGACGTGCAAATAGTGGCCAATTACTTACACGAATTAAAACAAGAATAACAAATATTAATTAATGGACAAGTCAAATAATAATAAACCAAATAAACCAAATAAATTTGGTGGCTACACCCAACCCCTAGATTAAAAGAATTTAGCCACTAAACATTATTAAAAACAATGTAAAATTAATAATGCTCATTGTATAATATCAGAAAACAAAAATAAAACTGGAATATTAAACCAGGTGCACAATCGGAAGTCACAAAGATTCCAGCCGTGAAGAACAAAACTTTTGTCCCGAAGCTACTGCTTGTTTCAAGTTTCCACGTGACCTTCTTCTTCTTGGCTGCCAAAAGCTTCAAGTTTGATAATTGATAAATGGTGATGATGGTGAAAAGCAAGGTTGATGGGTGAAAGCTGCCGTCGGGTTTGTGGGTTTTAGGTGGAGGTGCAGGGAGAGTGTAGCCTCGGCGGTGATGGAGGCGTAGGGTTCGGTGGTTTTCGGTCAAGTTTCGATACTAAAAATAAAATCTTAATCCTCTTTTTATAGAGTTCCGTCAAACCCTACTTCTTGGAGGAGAAGAAATTCAATTTAATCTAAACTTCTTCCTAAATTTCAGCTTCCGCCGCCGCATGTTTTTTTTTTCTTTTCTTTTCTCGATTTTGTCCGTGGCAAGAAGGAACCAAGAAGAAATCAGAATTTTTCTTCAAGCCACATAAAACAAAACATGCGGGGCCTTTACAAGTCTCACCAGCCCACTTTGGCTTAAAACTTTGGACCTAATCAACTTAATAATTCAGCCCAAGCATTCTTCAGCCAAACCCAAACAAACAACTCCAAAATTTCGTATTCAACCCTCCAACTCCTCAAGTCATCTGATTTCTTCCCCATCAATTGCTCCAATCTTCAATTCATTCCCATTAAGTTGCTTTTAATTCGATTTTAGCTTAAAACTTCAACAATTCTTCATTTGAGTACAATTCCTACAATTAAAGATAAAATCACATAAATAGCATATTTGTACTCAAAATATATTGCAAAAATCACAAATTAGGGATATAATAAATAGGTAAAATATAAGCATATCACACACCTCCACGCCTCACCACCGAAATCCTATCACCTCACGTCCAACATCCATCTACGTACATCATTGGAAGGGGCACGCGCAGGAGAAGCCGGGCAGCATTGAATCTGATCTTTCGTTCCGGGTTCTTTTGTTTTTATTTATTTTTGAGATGATATGTAGCTAAATTATTTAATATAGGATTTTGGATGTAGCCGCCGTACTATTTAATTTAATTTAATCTATGATTGTGACTTTTTCATTAATTAATATTTATTATTCTTGTTTTTCATCCATGTGAATATCTGATCAATATTTGCATGCTTTAAAGTGCTGAAGTAGCGAGAGTGGAGGCTAGTATTAGTTTGTAGGAATAATAAACTTAGGTCGTGAGCTACGAGAGTAGGAACACCGCCTTTGCGACTAGTAATTCCAAAGTTCTTAATGTGCTTTTATTAATCTCTATAGTCACGAGGGTAGTCATAGGGTTAGTTTAAGTAAGAGGGTTATGACACGAGAGTGTATAATTCTTAAATTGGTGAATTGTCGTGAGATTAATGAGAGTCGAAAGTCATATATCTATAGTTTAAATTAAACTGAATAGTCGGTTGGTGAACCCTTTGCCCTAGGTTTTTCTTTTACTAATTTATATCTTTAAATAATTGTAATTGATAGTTTTAGGTTTAGATTAGTTTAAATTGATAAACTGCTAATTTAAATAATAATAAGAAATAATTTTAACCGGTACTTGGTAATCTTCTCTATGGGATCGATCCTACTTTCTGCTTTACTGCTAGTAATTGTATCAGGTAGGTAATTAATTATTTGACTAGTGTGACGACGGCTTGTCAAATTTGGCGCCGTTGTCGGGGAAGGCATAAACCAATATCAAAACTAGATTATTTCTTTTATTAATTTAGATTTGTATATAGTTTCTTTTGTTTTATTAATTGATTATTTTTATTTCTGCTTTTATTTTTATTCTCTTTTCTTTCTTGTGTCAATATTTTTGTAAGATATTTTAGCTATTATGGAGAATTTTAACTATGGATATGGAGAGGCTCCGTATTATAGTTATAATTTTGAATATGGAGACTATTCTACATATCAAGAAGATTCGTACTCTTGGAACAATTGCTCTATTGATCCTTATTATGGTTGTGATTATCAGGGATACTCATTTGATGTTGGGTATAATTCTGGTTCTGAGAGCGTGTATATGAGTCATAAGATGTTGTCATGTTTGGAGAGAATTGATAAATTGTTGGATGACATCGAGAAGAAAAATGTTTCAAATTTCTCTCAAGAGGATTGCTATTATTTCAACGCATCTGAATATCAGCCACCACAAGCTCAACCTACTCTTATAGAGCTACCAATATATCAACCACCACCTCCTCAACCCACTCTAAGAGAGTTAGCAGCTCGTTAACCTACTCTGAGAGAGCTAGCAACTTTACAGTCATCACCTTGTCAACCCACTTTGAGATAGTTAGGATCTTCGTATCAGCAGCCACCTGCTCAACCTCAACTTACTGTTAGAGAGGCAGCTCTTCGAGATTTGCAAAGTGAAAAAGGTCAACAACTTATTGAAGAACTCAACCAATATAGGTTGAGTGTGGGGTTGCCGAAATATGATCCTATAGGAAATTTGCTTAAATTGAATAAGAATGAGAAGATTTCTGAAGATGATTCATTGGTCCAGTCTCCCCAGCCACCATCTCAAACAGACCTTGAATGTGAAGAATTAGAAGAGACCAAAGAGATTAACAGTCCAGATATTCCAAGTTCTCCTGATTCTTCTGGTATATACATAGTAGTTAAGCATGATTCGCTCATTCTAGGAGTTGGTGACAAGGATATAGATCAAGTTGATTTCACTGAGCAGAACATTCCTATAGTTTCAAAAGAAGGGTTTCAAGTAGACAAATGTGGCGAGGTTGTCCATAGTATAAGAGATAATACGGATGATGTGAAAGTTGATTCAATGAAAGACCAAGAAGAGGATCAATAGATTGAATTTGAGAAAGAGGATATAGTGGTCTTAGAGTATAAGTTTATATTTTTTCATGGCATGGAGAGCTACTACAAGAGATTCATTGTTGCTGTTGAACATGGTTTCTTCTGGTATCGAGATGGGTACTCTGACAGATCAGTCATGGAGTCCGGCTAAAGACTTTAAAACAGCGCTTATTGGGAGGCAACCCAACATTTTATTTTGCTGTATTTTATTTTATTTTTCATGAATAAGTGATGATTGAGTTTTTTGTTCCTGATTATTTGGAAATCTTTAATTTCTAAATTTTCGTGATTTTTCTTAATCATCTACCTGATAAAATTTACCTTTGTTTTTGTTTATGTGTGGCAGCTACTCCCTAGAACAAATGGTGATGGAAAATGCTTGGATGGTTATGCACCAGATCTTAGGTAGTGAGCCACGAGAGTAGGAACACTGCCTTTACGACTAGTAATTTCAAAGTTCTTAATGTGCTTTTATTAATCTCTATAGTGACGAGTGTAGTCATAGGGTTAGTTTAAGTAAGAGGGTTATGATACGAGAGTGTATAATTCTTAAATTGGTGAATTGTCGTGAGATTAATGAGAGTCGAAAGTCATATATCTATAGTTTAAATTAAACTGAATAGTCGGTTGGGGAACCCTTTGCCCTAGGTTTTTCTTTTACTTATTTATATCTTTAAATAATTGCAATTGATAGTTTTAGGTTTAAATTGATAAATTTTTAATCTAAATAATAATAAGAAATAATTTTAACCGGTACTTGGTAACCTTCTCTGTGGGATCGACCCTGCTTTCTGCTTTACTGCTAGTAATTGTATTAAGTAGGTAATTAATTATTTGACTAGTGTGACGACGGCTTGTCACTTAGTATTTTTTTAAAAAAAGATTCTTATGAAAAATTATACGGCCCTCTACATTGTGCGGGATGCACGAATCACTTTGCTAAGGAATGCATAAAAGCAAATGGTGCTCCCCACATGTAATCTCCTCTCTAGCGGTTGCTACAAACTTTCATTATTTGTAATTGATACAAAAAATAATAGTGGATTACAATGCCCGTGCGAAGACACGGTGATGTGTTCATAATTTGCCTTTTTATTATATCCCTTCATGTGAGATTTTGCTAATATTTTGAGTACAAATATGTTATTTATGTGATTTTATCTTTGATTATAAGAATTATACTCAAATGAAGAATTGCTAAAGTTTTGAGCTAAAATCAAATTAACAGCAACTCAATGGGAAAGAATTGAAGATTAGAGCAATTGATGGGGAAGAAATTAATGAGTTTAGAGAATTAGAGGGCCGATGATGCAATTTTGGTATTTTATTTTTAGTTTTTGGAAATTGGCCGAACAAACGATGATGGTGCGGCTGATTTAGGATTGGAATTCGGTAAGAATTTTAATCCCGATATTATTTGGAAAACAAGTTTTTTTCCTCTCTAAAAAGTAGGGTTTTGACGGAAGCCTATAAAAGGAGGATTAGGGATTTATTTTTACAACAGAACTGAACCGAACTGGACCGAAAAAAAACCCTACGTCCTCCCGCCGACCTCCACCCTTTAGCCGCTGCAACTTTACTCCACCGGAGCAGCCTTTCTTCTCCTCCACGTAGCCTTTCTTCTTCTCCACGCAGCCACCATCTCTACCACCTCTTCACCTCTCTTCGTCATCATCATCACCGAACTCACCACACAACAGCAGCTCCATCACCTCTGCTTAATCATCATCATCCTTCATCACCGAAGCCATCATCCAAGCACCACCTTGCTCCCTTACTTCCACGCCTCCACGCACCAGAAGCTGAGGAAAAGAAGAGAAAGCAAGCAGCAGCCGTGGACTTCAAGTCTTCAATTCGGCAGCCTTATTCTTCATTCGGGTTTTGGAGTTTTATTTATTTAATTTCAGATTTTTGGATTATGTCTCTAAATATTATTGAATTATTTTTTATAATGTTTAGTGACTGAATTCTTTTAATCTAGGACTTGGGTGTAACTACCGAATTTATTTAGTTTATTTGGTTCATTATTATTTGATTTTTCCATTAATTAATATTTTTTATTCTTGTTTTAATCCGTGTAAGTAATTGGCCACTATTTGCATGTCTGAAGATACTAATCGAAATAGCGAGAGCGGAAGATTAGTATTAGTTCGTAGAAATAATAAACTTAGGTTGTAAGCTACGAGAGTAAGATTATAACATTTGCAATGTTTGATTCTTAATGGTTTTAATGTGCTTTTATTAATCCCTTTAGTCACAAGAGTAGTCATGGGGTTAATATAAGAGAATTATAACACGAGAGTATATAGTTCTTAATTAGGTGAATCGTTGTGAGATTAATGGAAGTTAAAAGTCAGATATTTATGAATTGAATCAAACCAAATATTCGGTAGGTGAACCCAATGTCCTAGTTTTTCTTTGTCTGATTATTCAAATTAATATTATTTGCTTTTATTTTATTTATTTATTTTAGTCTTAAATTTTGTAAATCTGATATCATCATTTATCTAGATAATAATAGGAGTAATTTATACCTGGTAATTAGTATTCCTTCTCTGTGGGTACAACCCTATTTTCCGCTATACTAGTGTTAAATAGGTAAATTTATTTGACTAGTTCTGACAACGGCTTGTCACACGGGTCCAAAAACCTAGTATATATAATACGGAGCCAAAGTTTATAAAATCATTTGATGCATTTGTTATCCATTCATTCCAATATTGTAGGTTTGCTTCGTTTTTTTTGTTTTTTTTTCCCCTTCGTTTGGTAGTACCTTAATTTGTAGGACATTAATTACTAGGATTAGCAACTTAATTGATACTTGAACTGGTCAAATGATTCTATTCCTATTAGAGTAATGATATTCTTCTCTACAAATATAACTCTACTCATAACTCTACTTACATGTCTATCTAGTTGGCATTCCACATCACCTCCTCAATAAGTATTAATTTTTCTTTTTACAAAAAAAAAAAAAGAAATAACTTTAAAAGAAATTTTATCATTTTCTTTTTTTTTCTTCGGTTCTTTCTTTCTTTTTTTCCCCCTTCACCATCACAAACAAGAATTTTTTTCGTTCAGGATTCATCACAATTCTCATCCACCCAAAAAACAAATTAGTTGAAGTGATGCTAATAAACTTGTAGTTCCATTGTAATTGGTGGGGATCTCTTAGATATGTTTTCATTTGTTTTGATTCTGAATCAAATCCTTCCATAGCTAGGGTTCTCTGTCCAATTTCCTATCTCCGAACATGTGAGTAATCAACCAATCTGCTGTTCATCAGCCACAAAAGCTTATACCTCGGAAATTAACCTAAAAGATAATAAGATTTTTTGAGGTAGAAAAATTCTTTTTTCAATTGGTGAAGACGAAGCTTAATTTTTTTTCCTTTCTAGGTTGAGGGTTCTGCCAAGATGCGACGGAAAGGGGAAAAAGGGGGGATGAAACTTAAGAAAGCTCCATTTGAAATTGATTATATTTTTAAAAACGAAGAAATAATAGATTTTATTTGTTAATTAGTAAAAAGAAAAATTAATACTTAAGGAGGTGATTTAGAATGCCAACTAGATAAACATGTAAGTAGAATTATGAGTAGAGTTATATTTGTAGAAAAGAATATCATTACTCTTCCATTAATGGGTCAAACAATTTGGGCTTCTACATATTTTCAGTCTACAATCGCATCGACTTCACAATTCATAGTCCATAGCCTTTCCTATCGGAATTTTTTTTTTTTCAGGGATGATAAATGAGGCGGTGCATAAAATTTATGCACTACTAAATTAGTAGTTTAATTATGAAAAAAAAAAAAACAATCAGGGGCTCTTAGTTCTCATATATGGGAAAATATGTCAACACGTGCGTAATTAATGAAAATCATGGAGGGTCTTAATCCAATGACTAGCAAGTATACATAACTTTGAAAGAAATATTGTGTGTATTATTTATGTTATACAACATGGTATTTATATTACATTAAGTTACAACCCTGGCCAACTATGTTGGAAACCCTAATTAGGGTTTCCGTGCTTATATATATTCTATCATCCCCCGCAATCGTAGCACGAGAAGGAATCATGCCTAGATTGGTTCTGAACGAATAAAATTTATCCTTAGCTAATGACTTTGTAAAGACATCTGCAAGCTGGGACTGTGTGGAGACAAGAAGAACACGAAGAAGACCAGCAGCAACACATTCTCGAACAAAATGAATGTTTAGACCAATATATTTGGTGCGGGCATGATTAACCGGATTTACAGCTAGGTATGTGGCATTATCACACGAGATGACTGGGTGCTGCGGAAGCAAGATATGAAGTTCAGACAAGAGATTTTCCAACCAAACGGTTTCAGCCAATCCAGAAGCAACCGCAAGATACTAAGACTCAGTAGAAGATCGAGAGACGGTAGATTGTTTCTTGGAGGACCAGAAAATCAAAGATGACCCTGAAAGACACAAAAGCCAGCTGTAGAGCAGCGAGTGGTAGGACATCCAGTCCAATCAGCATCAGAATACGTTACAAGGCGATCAAGAGGGCCAGCACGAAGATGAGTGCCATAATCAAGTGTACCCTTAACGTAGCGAAGAATGCATTTGACCGCCTGAAAATGCTGCTCGCGAGGATCATGCATATGTTGACAGACAAGACTAACGACATACTGAATGTCTGGTCTGGTGAAAGTCAGATACTGTAAGGCACCCACCAAACTCTGATAGAAAGTCAGATTATGAAAAGGCGGAGACTCATCCATAGAGAACTGAAAAGCTGGAGCAAGGGGAATGGCAACAGGATTAGCATCGGTGAGATGAATGCGAGCTAACAACTCCTCAGCATATTTGCATTGATGTAAAAACCAACCACCAGAGTGAGGAGCCACAGAAAAAACACCAAGTCATTATCGGAGATGGGAGAACCAAACGGCTGTTAATGAATCGGCCAACATCTTAAGCTTGGTAACATACTCATTGATGGTTAATTCACCTTTTTG